AGCTTAGTATCTTTTTAACTAAATCCGTTAGAAATGTCAAACCTTTCACACCAACTTTTGTCCATTGTAATATTTACGAAAACCCAAATCCAAATAGTAAACATTTCACTTCAACCTTCATTTCAACTTTTTTTTGTGTTTTGTAACACAGTGACTTTTCCTTAAATTGCAACAAACATATTAACAGCTTATTTAATTATTCAGCTGATCATAATGAAATAGTTATTTGTGTAACTAGTGGGCAAAGTGGCACTTTGCTGCACACGAGAGCAATGTTTACGAGAGGAATGATCTCGAGTGCAGCAAAGACCTTTAGCACTCGTGTTACACATTATATTTTTCCTACAGTCACTATAAAGCATATAAATAATTAGTCTTTCAAACACTATACAACACGTTTTTAGGTTCAGCTGGCAACACAAATAGGTGCCCCAGAGAAAGTAGTACCCGGTCCGTATCACTCCGCTATTTTTCTTCGGCAAGAGATGTGCTCCGCGTTTTAAGAATACAGTTCCGTATGTTTTTGTAATTTGAAGTGGTTTCCATGCCTAAAAAAATGCTTTAATATTTTCTTGTTTATTAAGATCGTAGGAATGTTTTAAATTGTCAAGTGTGTACTGTATTATGATGTTGCGTGGTTAAAGCATGCTCATATTATTACGAGTTGATTCCTTACTTAATTATTTACTTATATTACTATAAACATTTTATTTCATTTCCACGTGTTTCAAATACATTTTTTACGATGACGGAAAAAAACTATATGTAACTTGCAGAGTATCCGTCCTTCGTACGGGGTTAGCATATAAGTATAAAATGCGTATTGCAGTAATGTTATACTCGAGCTTTGCGTTTGCAATGGGGGAGGACACAGTTTGATAAAATTTGCTTACTTAAATTTACGGTATACTATAGTATGACACATCTACGATAGCCATAATGTTCTACCGCTTCAACTAAACAATAGAAAAAAATAAATTACGATAAATTTGTAAATTATCACAAATTATTCATGAAATTAAAAACATGAACATAACTGTAAACAATCCTACTTATACAGTTCTCATTGTGTATCACAGTTGTTCGTTGCTGCTTAGTTCAATAGCTGTTTTTATTCATGACGAAAATAATAGTGCTGCAACCTGTTGGTAAATCTTATAACTTTTTAATGTTTAATGTTTTAAGCATTAAAAAGTTATAAGATTTGCCAACAGGTTGCAGGGTAAATCTTGTAACTTTTTTATGCTTTTGCATATCATAGAACCAACTTTGTTAGTTGTAACAGCTGACAAAATTCTTTAATTCCCTTTAAATATGAATACTCATAAGGTTAACATGGGGAACTACAGAGCCACTGGGGCGGGGCCCGAAAGGGGTTTCGAAATAAGAATATGCATATATGTTATTCGGGAATGTGAGCTATTATTATGTCAATTTCAGCCCAATCCGTCCAGTAGTTAATGCGTGATTGAACAAACAAACACACAAACTTTCACATTTATTATATTAGTAAGATTTATACATTTGATGTATAAAATTAACGGGAAATGTATAGAGAAAGCACAATATCAAAGTGTTAATTTGTATTTAACTTAATATCGACAAAATTTGCGTAATAATACAAAATCCTTCCCATTCATGCAAGTTAAAATCCTTCCCATTCTTGCGAGTTCAGTCGAGCGGTGGTAATATGGGACAGTCTCTACCCTTGTGAACAATAGCTGGCTCGAGTCACGAGCCCAAGCCCTACATCAGGTATACCGGGGGTGATCATGGCAGGGGGGGACCTTTCCGGGGTGTGCATTTTGAAAATGATCGGGGGTAACGTATCCGGTTAACATAAATTGTAATTAGAAAATCTGGTAATTGTAATAAGTGGATATAATTATCTAATTAATACACAAAACTCTAAAATAACTCGTCATATCGACGAGTGCATGCTGCAACTGAAATTGAGTGTCCGCGGTTGGAAACATCACCCCCCGGTCTCTGACGTCAATATGACGTAGGGGGGTGATGTTTCCGGGGGCGACCTTTCCGCGTCCCCCAACGTACATACAGTGCACGAGCACTTCACTCACGCTCTTCTGCTGCTCGCTGCTCTGTCCAGTGTTGAGCTTCAATGAAATACGTTTTCTTCTGAAAATTTTGAAGACTTTGTGTGATAAACAAAACACTAATTGGTTGAATATTGTTGTACGTTTACCATAAACTAAAAAATGTTATATACTTAATTTAAAATGTAATATAGATTTGTTTTCAATATAAAAAATTAACTTTAAGACTGTGAATACATTTATTCAAATTATTGTTTTTAGTTTTTATATGCAGGAGTCTAAGCAATATGTATAACCTATGCTTTAAAACGTAGAGGATTTTTAAAAATATTTTAAACGTTCCAAACAGAGAATAAATTCTAGGGTGTCCTGTACACGTATGAAAAACTTTGTCACGTTATTCAGCTGTTAAAAGAAACAACAAACGGGTATTTTCCTGTTAAAGGGAACATTCATTATTATCGATGATTTTTTTTTTTCGATATATCGATATTAACAAATTGAGACACATCAGCTGACAGCTACGATAAATATTGTTCAGTATATGAAACTGTTCTAAAAAAATAACCTAACATAACTATCCAAACTTGCTATAAAATTTAAAAATTCCGTGTTTAACTTGCCTTTTCTATTATCAAACCCAAACGGAAGTTTTAAATGGTACAGCAAGTTTGGTTGGTTATGTTAGGTTAGCTTAGAACAGTTTCGTTTCTTAATCCATATAGACTATTTTAGCCTAAACAAGATCAGTTACTTGTTGTTGTCAATTTGTAATAGATCTGATCGGAAAACAAAAATATTGATATATCGAAAAAAATCATCGATAATAATGAATGTTCCCTTTAACAGGAAAGTACCAAAAAATGTAATATTGTCCTATGTAATTTTTACAAAAACATTCATAACTCACCGTTTGAGCTATAGCGTTGAAATTCTGTATGGTTATCTTATTGACCTCAATCTTAATACATGCACAAAATATGAAAAAAAACTCTTGAACTATATTTAAAACCAAGGATAGCGTTATCTATAATTGAGACGATATACTGTATATGTATAAAACAACAACCAAAGTCAACAGAGATACGTTTTATACAACGATAAAATGGTGTACAAAGATATCCATCTTGAAAATAAAAAAAATGTAATTCTTGGTTTTCTTTTAGATATTAAAATAATTTGTTTAACATTTTGAGCTTTTTAGGGACCTATGTCCCTACCAGTTATTCATTAAACTAGTTTAAACATAAATAAATATCCACTATACCCATGATTTTCAACTGGGAGGGGATACAAAATAAAAAAATACCCCCTAAATCAATTATTCAGTTTGATGAAATTTAAACCTACTACATGGCTGTGGGCTGTACACAGCCATGAGGTAAGCCAAATAAATAATTAAGCAAATCAGGGTTTACATATGGTTTACAAACTCTAAGCATACAATTATTAGGTGTCAATTGTCTTTGTCCTACATGTTATTTTTTATGCCTTCTGTATATTGTTTCATATCTAAATTATAAAGTTTGGAAAGTTATTTCACAAAATGAGAGTTAGTGTTTGGCTTTTTAAAGGTAGTTCAATATTTTTGTTTTTCGAATATAGCTATTAAAATTGTCCGTAAACAAGTGCGAGTAGATGTAATAATAGATTTTATCTACTTTCAATTAAGATATTATAGTTTGTATATTGGTAATTAATATTCTTTTCAATACTCTACAGACGAAAGTACACTTTTTAAAACCTACAATGAGCTAAGAAAATAGTTTTTTCGCTACACTACTGTAAAATGACATGTTTTTGTTGTATATTTATCACCTGCAAAAATCTGTTATTACATTGTATACTATGGCAATATTATATTTCGTACCTAGGGCCGAAAATGAGGTTTTGCCAACTCAGGGTTTTTAGGTTCGAGTCCAAGTCGAGAACTTAAAACGATCGAGAGCTGCAAAACCATTTTTGGTCCATGGTACGAACACTATTTTTCACCACACTACTACTATTCACAAACGCAACTTTAAGGTTATGTGAAGAAGTAATTTAAGGAATCAGCAAAAATTATAATAAGGCAACGGTGAAAATAAAACAACGAAGTGGCGCAATGCTATGGATACTGTTTGTGTATTTAATATGCAAGCGGGCAGTTTATTTTGCGGCCCTAGGGATGTAAAAACCTGCTTGGTCCCCAAATGACGATGACAGCTTGCACGGTCGGTCAGCAAAACATAACTTTCAGCCTCTAATTAACGTATGTCAAACAGCTAATAACATCATATTATGGTAAAAAAGATTTTTTACTATGCGAAAGTATGTTTACTATTTTTTTTGCCAATGTAAAAAAACAATAATATTTGTTATTGTTTTATAAACTGTTTAAATGTTCAACAACTAAAAGTAAACATTAACTTTAAATTGAAGGCATAACCTAAAAAATTCTATCAGTTTTGTAGTTAAGAAATACAGGGTTAGGCAATGAGAGCACCCCAATTTTCTTTCGTTGTCACACTATAAGTAAAGCCACAATTAATTAACAGCTGTGCTGCTCTGCTAATAATATCAATGAAACAATGTCATTTTAGTAAACATTATGCCTGAGGCTATTAAGACTGAGATTTTGATGTGGAAACCCAATTTTAAAATAGTGATTCTTGTGCAAAAACCCACAGATTGTTTGGACCACATTCCATCCTTGGTCAATTTGGTGCTGTTCAAAATTGGAAAACAACGGTGAACTGGGTAAAATTATTTAGTATAACAGCTTAAAACAAAAAAATAATCTGCTGTTGCCGCGAAACCCTTTGTACACCAGCAAATGTTGAGAGAGTGTGAGCCGCAGTAACTCGAAGCCCGAAGAGATTTGCCAGGAAGCTTTTGTTGTTGAAAGCTTTACGTTGGCTCTTTTTTTTTGGGGGGGGGGGGGTATTCTGATAAGCTACTTCATCACCATCATCATCATTCTATATTGATTTTTCCCTCAAGGGGTACATCAAAAACATACATTTCCAAAATACAATTACATGCCAAAAAACCAAGGTTGGTAAATTAGTTTAACTAATAACTAGGTAAATAAATAATTATATAAATATTAACATGCAATAAATAATTCAATAAATACTTGAAGTTCGAGGTTTTTCTAAGTTGCCCCACAGATTTGCTTAAACGGAAGCTAAGAATTGTCCAAAACTAAAGTGATTCCTGAAGAAATTCTGGAGGAGTATTTGATGGAGTTTTCAAGTGACTAAAAAGGAATGTCAAGTAGGACAAGGACGTCACTTGCAGGATTTTGTTTTCAAAAAATGAAAAAATTACTTTGTTAAGCTCAATTGGCAAAAGATAAGCTGTGTTTTGATGTGCTATTTATATATATTGTGTGAATATGTTTAATTTATAATATAATGGATCTTGTACAATTTATAAATTCGGCCGCTTTCATTGCCTCACCCTGTAGTATTTTTGGAGAAGAAAATGGGAGAAGAAAATTGTTCTTGAAGAAAGAAATTGTTGTAAATTTAATGTGGACAAAAAATCTAATATTCAAAGTTGTAATTGTAAAGTGTACAGTTCTTAAAATGTAAATTGTACTTAAAATTACATACAAAACTAGACCAATTCACGCACGATTTGACGAAGTTGGCGGTCATATTGGAAACATGGCGGCTAAATATTTTTTTTAAACTTGACCAGAATAAAAAAAAATCCAAGGCATTTACAACCCGTCACAACGGCAAAATCCAGCAAACCCGTAAGTTGCAAGAACTCAATTAACGACCCCACGAGCCACCTGAAGACGAGTTGTAGAACTTAGTAACTTCAATACTTATATGGTACATATTTTTAATTTAAAACTAGTGCTACTTTGCGGACATTTAGTGAGTCACTTAAACCTGAAGACCAGTTCTGCTAGGCAGTCAGTACTTTCCCCATTATTGAAAAAAATGTATTAATGCATTTTCAAAAAGTTAAATTGACGTAATTTATAGCAATTTTCAAATTCAACACTCTTCACTGAGTTTTTGGTAATTGCATATTCATGTAAAGAAAACAATGTCTACATCAACATTTGCAGTCCATGCGGTTGTCAGATCAGCTTTAGAGACTGAAGGTTGAGAGAATCTCCCTTGCACTTGCAGATGAGCCGTAGCAAACTGAGCTTCTTGTCGTTGTGGTATGAGCTCTCGAGCTCGTAGAGTGTACACAAGTTGAGGACGAGCTGGTCCTGCAAAGCTCGTACGGGATTGGTATTGATTGCTCCTGTCAAGACTTTGATGGCTTCCTTTAAATGACCCATGTAAAGAAGGCAAACTGCACAGTTGTTCAGCACCTAATAAAAAAAGGTTTAATTACAAACCTCATCTACAAACATCAAGTACTTAACACAGTAAATTGGGACCTATATGTATCAATTATGAAAAAACTGAATACACTGCGTTTCGAGATATCTGTCCTGCAGCATGTTACTGATCTCAAGACAAGATGGTTGTTTATTGTACTTCTTTTGTGTCAAACATGCTGTATGGGATAGAGTTCTGAGAAGCTATTCAAACGCCAATACATTTTCAAAATAAAAAAATCATAATAATTATGCAATGTTCATAACCCAAATAATCTTTTGAATCATTTAAAGAATTTTTTACATTACTACCTATCTTGATTTTCCAAACATTACTTTTGATAAAAATATTTTTTTATGACTGAAAACTGATAAAGTAACTATCTAACAAAGTATCAAAATGTATTACAATTATCTATTCTTAGGCATATCTCACTTCCACTAAATTTAGGGGGGAGAATTCATAGTAAACTACTTGATAGTTTGAATAAGGTGAACTGAAACATCTAAACAATTAAGTTTCATTTGCTCACAGTTGTTGCTACAATTGCAGAAGACAATTAATTAAAACCAGTGAAAAATACTCATGTAAATGTGTAAAAATTAATTTTAATGTTTTAAATCGAAGATAAAACATTTTAACTAGTTTTTTCCTGTGAATAACCGATTGTCCGAAATCGGTATCCTACAATCGGTTATCCTAATACCTCCAATTAATTCCTAGCTGTTATGGATAATCCACTCTCTACTGTGGCTACTTTTTTATACCAAAATACACATAGTTATTTTTATCATTACATGGTCAAGAGTTAAACAGTGCTTGTAATTTTATTTTCTTTTTAGCGAATTTCCCATATAGGAAATATTTAACCAATTTCCCAAATAGGGAATAAACTAACACTGTAGGTCTCAGTGTAAGATCTAGACCCGAGACAGATTTACTTTTTCATTTCAATGTGCCCAGAGGCCAAAAACATCATTCACGAACCAGCATGATCGGACTATGGGAACGGGGTTGTACGGAGGTTTTTATGGAGTATAGATTATTTTTTACCCCTGAATTTTAAAATGTTGGTATTTCTTTCAGGAATATTTTGTAGAGCTTAACAAAAATAATTTAGTATATTGAAGCATTGTTGTATGTCTAACGGTTACAGAAAAAATTCAAAAAAAGTGTAAATTAAAATTCTCATGTTATTCTTATGGAGAATAAATAAACTGTTTTAGTTTGCTTGTTTAAGGATATATTTTAATCAAATTAGGCAAATTTGTTTATTTCATACTAAGCTATCAACATTTCAATAAAAAAACACACCTTATTACCTTTACTGTAGCAGTAAACCTAAGTACTCCTCTTAAAAAAATAATTTTACTTATAATAAATCTGACATTCGTAAGGGAATATTATAATAGAAATCCCACCAGGTAAATGGAAATTCATTAGACTGCAGGTTTGCTGTGGCAAGGGTATTTACAGCATTTATTTCCTTCTTTTTCAAAAATTGATTTTGAATGACAGTATATAAATGTCTTTACCATGAAATTCGTGGGATTGATGAAGGAAGCTTTCTCAAAAAATTTGTATCCCTCCTGAAAATTGTTTTGAGCTACAGCAAGCAATCCTTGGTCAATCAAATCCTGGAAATCTTGGCCAGTGCTTAGTGTCCCTCTAAGAAAAAATAAAATGCAATGAACAATTAGCAAAAAGAGGTGAATAGGTTGATGTATTCAGAATAGCAAAACAATTATTATACAGTAGATGATTTTACAAAAATAACTTAAGATTTTGGTTCCAGCCACATGTTTCCATAAATTAATGGAGATACATAGCATGTAGTTGTTATATATTTGCTAAAAAAAAATTCTGAAGGAAATTAATATCCTTACGAGGGCTTATTACCTTGCCGTTCCAGTTCATTAATCCGGGGTTTCTGTACATTACCAAGCATAGTTTGATGCTGAAAATCAGTAACAGCTGGTTTAGGTGCAAGGGCGGTCCTAGACCAACATTTAGGGGGGGGGTCGGGGGGGGGGGGGTCCTCCCCCGGAAAAAAATGTTAAAATGATGTGCTTAAATGAGTGATTTTTAGCTATTTGAGACATACAAAAATAATAATATACCTACCTTAATGTATAAGATTTCCAGTTTATTATTTGTACCTGGTATAATATTGTCCCTAATGTATAAAAAGGATACTTACACAGTTTGAAGGCAAGTTCGAGCGTTGGTGAACCATGTATCAGCTCCCTGGACATCCCCAAGTTGCAGATATATGCGGCCTAGAGTTGAGTACAAAACTCTCTTACCCGCAGCACTGGCTTCATTCTTTATAACCATATGAAAAACCTCTGTCATCAATGAAAAGTCCTGAAAAGATACAGAGATTTAAAAAAATAAAACAAAGATGTATTTATGTAGAATGTATCTATTTATTGAATGACTTCTTGATCAGCATTAAGTACTTGTTATTAAATTCACAGAAAGTAAATAATAATTATTTGTCTAATAACTTTTGAAACATATCTTTACACTTACACTGTTAACTCTCAAGACGGTAAATATATATAGGTGACACCCGTAGCCTCGCCAGCCGAAAATTATCGTGGCTTCAAACTTCGCGTTAACCGAGAGAGAGTTTTGGGAGCTTAATTCACGCACACAATTCGACAAAAATGGGATTTATTACTTCATTAATTCAATAAAATTATACAATCAAGAACTCACTTAAATTATATAATTAAGGTTTAATAACTTTTTACAAAATAATTTAATTTAATTAAATTGAATTTGAAGTTAAGAAATAAAATTTAGGTTAGAGGGAGCGCGGAGTCGCGTCTGTTTTAATTGACATTTCAACGCGGACTGCTTTGTTCCTTGGTTGTCGGCAGTGCTGATGCGCCTCGCGGACCAATCAGCGTTCAGCGTAGTCTCTGAGCGGCACCCTGCGCAAGGCTCGACCTCTTTGCCCGCCAAATACATTCCCCAACAGAGGCTAGCTCCGTCAGCAGAAAGCCCGAGTCAGCACCGGCAATGAGCATATTCCAGCTTCATAACTTTTACCATTAGAATATTATTATAATTTAAACGAGGTTGGAGATAGTTTGGTGATGCTGGGATATTCATATGGAGACTCAATTATCTTCAAATAATTACTCAAATAAATATTTCTTAAGTTTCTGACCACTGGTTTGGACGATGATCATATTGATTAATTATTGATATTAATGTACTGATAAAGGTGTGATGGTCGATGTTAACACCAAACCAGGCCATTTATACAAATTTGGCAGTTACTCCTACCCTGCCAATTCCTTATTTAATTATCATATCTCCTGAGTAGTCGATTAGAATTTGATTATTAGGAATATAAACGGCTAGGCCGTTACATAGGGTGCGGCAAAAAAAACTATCCATTTTCTGCAGCGCACTGTTCAGCGACAGGTCGTCTGAGGGTGGTGGGAGTAGGCTCGTTGGAAAGCCTATACAATGCCATTTTTTGTAGCCATAGAGCAGTGGTCGTATGAGCTACGTGCGGTTGTTATCGAGTCGTTTTTAAAAAATCATTGCAACTCAGCGGCAGTTCCGTGATTTTATTCAATTAGGTCGACATAGAGAGGTTCCGTCGTGATTATCTGTATGGATGATTACCAAATTATACAGATTATTATTCTAATCCATATGGATGAAAATTAACCTCAAAATTTGTATAACTTAGCGGTCAGACATAGCCGCTTGTTTTCGGGCTGGCCTACGAGGACTGTTTTCCACAGCAGCACGAACTCTATCGAATGTTTGTTGTCTGGCGTCCGATATGACTTTGGAAGGCCTGTCAGCTTCCTTTTCAACGCAGAAGCAGTTGTCCTAAAGTAAGTAACCCACCGCATTATTGTGCTACGCAACGGAACTTCTCCATGTCGCCTTAATTGAAAGAATGCATGAAACTGCCGCTGAGTAGCAATGAATGAATTCACTATTTTATAAAAACGACTCCATAACAACCGCACTAGCTCAGGCGACCACTGCTCTATGACTACAAAAAATGGCATTGTGTAGGCTTTACAACGAGCCTACTCCCACCACTCACAGACGACCTGTCGCTGAACAGTGCTCTGCAGAAAATAGATCGGTTTTTTTGCCGCACCCTGTATAAGAGATGGTAAGTGGTTATCAATTTTGATTGGACACTCGAATCATCATCAGTGATTCGATAGGGTCTGATTTCCCAATTTGTTGATTGATATAAGTAGGGACTACTTATATCCTATTGGCTACCGGAAGTACCCGCCGAGAAGTTCCTATTAGTACAACTGGAATCAAAATTTACTTGTACATTAATTAGGTTATTTTTATTTATAAGTAATCATTATTTTATTGGATAAAACATTCTTCATTACAAAGGAGCAATGATGAACAGATGCATGGTCATTCCATAAGTTATAAAAACTAAAACTAAAAAGTTACAACAAAATTTATATTTTATATTTTTACATTTTTCCTTATTAAGGTCAGTTCACTCATATCAGTTCAGTCTCAGTTGCGTAACAAATTCCTCAGTCAACTGTCCGTCAGTTAGTTTCAGTTATTGATCAAATAAAAGGATTACCTTATCCAACCACAGTTGTTGGTATGACAACTAGTTTCGCTCCTTAGAACTTCATCAGGTCATTGTATCCCAATAAGCAAAAAAATTATTACAAATTGTCAAAAGCTGTATTACAATTGTTGTATAACAATTTTAAAACATTTTGATTTCAACTTCATATTACAACAAGATTAATACAAGATTGAAACAATCTTTAAATTGTTTAACAATCAGTTTATGCAGTATAAAAAAATAAGTTTTAATATGAGTTGTAACTATTTTACAACAATTTTAAAACTGTTTTATTCTTAGTTTTGTTATAAACAATTTTAAATCAATTTTCTTAACAATATTTAAATTGTTTACAAACATTTTAAACAATTGTTAGTGTAGTTCTTAAAATACACGTTTAAACAATTTTGAAATAAATTTAATTTGTTTGATTATTTATGTTTGATTAAATATGAGATGTTTAATCTTAATTAATAATGGGTTGTAGGCCTATCCCTGTTTTGGCCGTTTTTAAACTCACTTGCATTTACTTTGAATGAATGAATGAATGAATTATGAATTTATTCCACCACATATATACAATTTACACAACCAAATGTACAAAAGAAAAAAGGGCTTTATGCAAAACTAAACTAACTAACTATAACTAATTAACTATATACATGTGTAAAAGGTTGTTCCTATCTAATTAGTTCTGGAATTAGCAGACATAGGCTGTGCCTGTGCGTCTGCTAAGTTGCTATAAAGATTATGAAGTTAAAGTGGTGCAATTTAGTTTTATATTTTGTATGAGTGAAAAGTAAAATTAAATGAAAAGTAAAATTAAATGAAAAATTAAATGAATTTCAGCAGTTAAGAAATAGTAATGTAATAAGTGACAGTACTCTACACGAAAAGAACATGCAATAATAAAAGAACATGCAATAAATATCAATAGAAGCGTCGGAGAGAGAGCGGCTAGGGTGTGCCGTCAATGTCGAGGTCCAAGTCAAGTCAATGGTCAAGTCAAGTCAATGGTCAAGTCAAAGGTCGCGGGCCGATCCCGTCGCGCCGGTAAGATGAAGTAATAATAAGATCAGCTTCGTCCGTATTTAAATTAAGTAGCCATTCTTTAACAAGACGTTTAAAAGAGACAATAGATGTGGCGTCAAATAAATTTAATTCAGAATAGTATTTACAAAAATTTCGAAACACTATGTGAGATATATAAAAAGAATTTGTTGTTGAAAAAGTGTTGTATACCTGAAGTGTAGTAATGTGGACTTGAGATGAGTATCTTGTGTTATGAGAATGTGAGGTTTCATTAAATATTCTAGTGCAATTCTTGAAAATGTTAATTAGTAAACATTTGATATATAGTTTGCGAACTGTAAGAATTGATGTTTCCTTAAATAGGGCGTCAGACGGAAATCGTTTGGATTTACCAAAACCAATCTTTAAAAGTGACCTATGAGCAATATTTAGAGGTTCGAGCAAACTTTTAAAACATCCTCCCCAGGCTATAATCCCAAATGAGAGCAAAGATTGGACGTAAGCAAAGTAGGCAATTTTAATTTCTTTTAAGGTTAGAATTCCATTCATTTGTCTAAAGGCAAACATGTATTTCCTGACCTTACTCCTTACACTTTGAATATGTTCAGCCCACTTCAGCCGACGGTCGAAAATTACACCCAAGTATTTATATGAAGCTACCTCTTCAATAGCTTCGCAATTACAAGACAAGTTAAGGAAATCACTACAAGAATGAATTGTTAGGTTTTGTAAATTATAATCTGTGTTTTTACTAATAGAAATAGGCATAAATTTTGTTTTTGATATGTTTAGGGAAAGAATATTTTGGTCTAACCATTTTTTTATAACCATTAGATCATGTTGCGCTTTTTCTCGCACCTCGGGCCACGACTTCCCCTCCAGGAAAATTAGTGTATCGTCAGCAAACAAAAATAACTTTCCAAAAATATTGATTCTCGATATATTATTAATATATATTAAGAAAAGAATAGGCCCTAAATTACTTCCCTGGACCACCCCATAATCGACAGGCATAGGATCACTGTCTGTACCACAAATTGTAACAAATTGAGCTCTGTTTGAAAGATAACTCTTGAACCATTCCAAAGCACTGCCGCAAACTCCAATTGTTTTTAACTTGTTGAGAAGTTTTAAACGATCTACAGAATCAAATGCTTTTTTAAGGTCAAGAAATATTAGTATAGAACGTTTTTTGTTGGAAATGGTATCGTACAACTCTTTGTTTACATCAAAAAGAATATCTGAAATATTTTTGTCGTGACGGAAACCGTACTGATGCTCACTGAGAATGTTATTAGAATGAAGGTAAGCAACCAACTGATCTTTGACAGCCTTTTCAATTATCTTAGTACACATGGGCTGCCTGTCGGGCCGCTGCTCATGGTCGACGAGCCCAAAACAATAGGATGACGTTGCGTCATAATGATTTGTTCATAAATTATTATAATTATACAGGGTGTTTACTGATGTCGTATAAAAGGTTGTGGACTTGCACTTAAATTCATTTTATACTAAAGTTACTCAATTAATAATTGAATTATGAATAATACACTTTTACTGAATACATGTCATTAAATCGGGAAAATTCAATTATGTTTTAAAAAAAAATTGTTTAAACAAATCTTGGTAATATTTGCAAACTAAAATTAGATTACCAATTATGTTCAAATATAAGACATACTTTATCAGGTTTGCATTTTTATCCAAACGTTCAAATTATTTAATAAAATTACTGCTCTTT